AGTCTGGCCAAAAACGCACGCCAAGCAAACTCGGTTCTCGCACCCGGAGTTTATTGATGCCCGGCTTGAAGGACGCCGGACTCACGCACCGGCGAGGGCGCTTCCAAAGAGGCAGCAGCGGCAGCGCCTCCTCTTCTCCGCCTGCTCCGGAGCTTCCCCTCCCTCTGTTTGTCTGTCTCTCTCTCTCACACACACAAACTCACACACACACCCTCCGGCCCGCAAGCGGAAAGAAGAGCCTCGCTTCTCGGGAGGCGCCGGGGCGCGTGTCTCTTTCTCTCCCGCTCCCGGCCGACGCCTGGCGGCACGGACGCGCACCGACGCCCGCAAGGACCAGGAGGTAAAGGACGCAAGGCTTTCCTGGCGGGAGTCTGTGGGCTTTCTCGGGAGAAGGCTCCGGCTCCCACTTCGGGGCGTGGCGCGAGCGGGGATCCCCCCTCTCCAAAGAGAGAGCCGTCAAACGCCCTCGGGTTAAGTTGGAGGGGAGCCCCATCGAACCGAGTGGGAGTTCCTTCCGAGTAAACTTAGAATCCGACGAGCGGGGTTTTGGTAGAGAAGTGAAAAGCCGGAATAATAATAATGACGACGAGAGGCATCATAAATCAGTAGTGATGGCAGTAGTATTAGCTAATCGTTAATAGTTATAATCGTTAATAGTTATAATTAATAGTAACTCAATAATACCGCTGTGATGTAAGATTAGCTGCAGAAGTGCTGGCTTGCCCGCGGGTCGCTGGCTATCTTTTGACACTTTTGCAGTGTGATTCGAAGCCGCACCTGAGTTTGTGCTCGATCCTGTGCGCCGATTTACTCGTAATGCCGCCGTCCTGTTTTCAGAGGACCATATATATTTTTTTTAACAAGTGCGTCCCTGTATAGAATCGATACTTTGGGGGCGATAAAGCGAGAACAGGAAAGCAGGGCTGCGATCCTGTGCCTGATTACCTGAAAGTAAACATCCCGGAACAGAGTTGGACTGACTCTGGAATAAAACGTGCTTGTAGTTATATACCGGAGGTCACATATAGGTTTAGTTGGTATAAACGGTGTTTCTGAGTCGTCTGTTGGGTGGCGTCTGACAGGTTGAATTGCGCCGCAAGAGCCGGCGCTCTCCTTGGCGGAATTGCCAAACCCTGGAGGCGAGTTCAGTCGGATTGCTGTTGGAGAAACGTAGTTGCTTCTCCTCCAACCGAGATGAAACTGAGAGATTATCTGTTCTCGCTACTTCCCCGCCCAGTTTTGTACCACCCGGGCGTTACCTAAAGGTTCCCTGTGGAAACGTTGTGTAAGGTTTCGAATTCCGATCCCGTGTGTACCCTTTGCGCGGAAGTAAATGCGCTTGGTTTTCTTCAGCCGGTGTCTTTGTACGCACCCTCCCTGGATGGGTGTGTGTGTGTGTGTGTGTGTGTGTGTGTGTGTGAGAGAGAGAGAGAGAGAGAGAGAGTCCTTTTGTGTGGTTTGCAGCGCTCTTTAATTGGCAAGTCTGGGTGGGAATCTTCCCCGCAACCTCTATTCTGATTTGTCCTTTTGACTCTCTCACACACCCATTTATTTGTGGAGTCGTCGTGAATTTTAAGGCGGAGGGGGCTGGAGATTTAAGCCTGCCCTGTTGGAAGCATCCTAGCTGCGGCGGATTAAATCCCGTCGTTAAACGGTGGGAGATGCTGCTGACGACCTCTTTGTAACCTGGTTCCAGAAATCACCGGAGCAGATTGTCCGGCACTAAGAGTTGGAGCGCGCTGCTGATGCAAGGTGGGCGCCGAAACGGGGAACAGCGCCTTGGCTGTGCTTGTCACAATTGCTGTGCGTCGACAAACATGGTATAGTCCTATGCGGAAGATCGCCTCGTTCTTGCCGGTGTGGTTTGCAGCGATGTTGAATTGGCAAGTTTGGAGGGGGATTCTCCCCCGCAAACTCCATTCTGAGTTGTGGGAGGTCGAGAAATGGGCTTGCCGATCAGCGTCTTATCTCCCGGGAAGGTGTCCGGATGGCATCCCCAGGTGTTGGGAACTCTCGCTCACCAGTTTGCGAGAGGGTGGATGCCTCTTGTGTCCGCCTTCTTATCCTGAAGGAGTGAGGAGACAGAATAGTGCCGGTTTGTCTCAGATTCCTGGCAGCCCTTTTCAGCTTCTTAGGAACTCCAGCGGTAGCCGGAGATACACCTGGCGAGGGCTTGGAGGAGAGAACAGCCATTCAATGATAGATAGCAAGGGAGGTCTGACTGGACTTCTCTTGTCGGGTGTGTATACTATGGGAGAGTAGGAAATCGTAGAATACAGGGGAAGCTGCTCTGGGAAGACAACAACATTTGGGAAAGTTAATTTTGGGGGATGACAGCTGCCGACTTCTGGGCATTTTAATCAAAAAGCAACTTTTCCAAGCTCTGATGGAATGTTGGAGTTAGATTGTGTTATGAAAAGCTCAACGTTATGCTTGCTTCCCCCCCACTCTTAAAAATGTGAGATTCTTACTCTTCATTCTTTGCACAGAAAACTGCAGCAACGCATTTCAGATGTAGCTGAGTAAAAAAAAATCTGAACTAGAAAGCCCATAAAAAGGATATTAGAACAATATTGTGTCAGACTTCTGGTTCTAAAACCAAATATCAGATTTCACTATAGCATTAACAGATCCTTCCTGTTGTGTGCTTACTAAAACAAGCATATCCAATACATAGGTACAAAATTTTAATATACAAAATTATTGTGAGAGGTAGGATTCGAATCCTAGATAAGGGTTTAGTGGAAGTAGAAAAAAATGGCTAATCAAAGAGATGCTCTCCTTAATAATTGATTTTTCTCTTACAGCATGACTTTGCTCACCTCTTTGTGGTTTCCTTCCTCTGACATCCTATGGCTCTGGCAGTCACAGGGGATTGTGGGAGCTGTCCTTGAAAAAAGTAATTATCGCAAGTTTTAGTCTGAAGAAGACTCCTGGCCACAGAGCCCTTTTGCATCCTTAGAAAGGCATGAGGCATGAGCCGCATCTCCTGCGTGCCAGATATATGTGTTCAGAAGATGCTTACCTGTAGGTGTGAAAAACCTTCACCAGCACTCCTGCCTCCCAGGGGGTTGGAACATGGTTTCCACCTCCTCACTCATGACTGGTGGATCTAGCTGCCTTTCCCACTCTCCTCCAGATTTCAAAAGTACAATAAAAGAAAGATTGTCAGATTCTATCAGTATCATCCATGCTGCCTCCGTGTAAGTTCAGAATACCATTGAGATGCTTAGATATTGATTTAGTTACATAGATGTTAAATTTTTCATGGTGATTAATTTCCATCTTCTCTCCGGCTCAGGATAAAACACCTTCCCCCCTTCTTTCTTAATTTGATGGTTGAGGGATGTTTTTTTCTGAATGCCAGACTACCTTTCTATGCTGCTTTGCATTGATCAAAGACAAGCATGAGGTTAGTTTATCCTACAGAGACAAGAACATCTGAACTGATTTGAGTCTCTGATGGAGGCTCTAAACCTGCCTTAGGGCTAGAGCCGATTTCTATAGGAGGTAATGACTTAATTGCAGTTTAAGGGATTAGAAAGGGATCAGATTTGTAGCAGAATGTGGTGTTCCTTTGATTCCTATCTTGCTCTCCCAAACTGTGGGTCATCACAACTCTTTCTGGTCACTAGCAGCACAACACCTGGATACCCAGCATGACATGAGTAACCCTCTCCCCATCCTGGAAACATTTGAGGGGCTTGGGGTGTGAGGTGGAAGCTTATCCCTGAAAAACTATGGTCTGACACAACTCCGGGAGGCAGTGGAAGATAGGAGGGCCTGGCGTGCCCTGGTCCATGGGGTCACAAAGAGTCGAACACAACTAAACGACTAAACGACAGCGACATACAGTGTTTGCTGTTCAGTTGCAGGCCACTTCCTATTCTTTCTGTTGCTAGAGCTTAAAGGTAATGATGTTAGATGTAACTTTTTACATTATGGATTAATGAGAGCACAATGACCTCCCTTTTTGCAAAGACAGAAAGACTGGTAAAGGGGGACAAGTAGGTAAGGAAGCTTTTCTCATTTCTTTGGGAGGTATCTCAAGTAAAGCTATCAATATGGTTATCATTTCCCTTTAATTATCTTTGATTTACAATTTTGTAGTGGAAGACTGTTGTATATGTTTGATTCTGCAGTGCTAATAGTCTATATTAATCACAGCAACTTTAAAAGCATCAGAACATATAATATGGTATGGAAGCTTTTATGTTACGCAGGGTAGAGTGTTGTACATAGCTCACAAACCATTCTGGAGCAGAAGAGCTCACATACTATGCTGCGTACTTTGAATGATTCATAGACAGTATGTAATAAATTAATATATCTCTCAATAAACCCATTCTCTTTAGGTTTATCTGCTTTGTTTCAGAAATATATCTATTTTGTTCAGAACAAATTTAACCTACTTTAGCCTTCTGGAGTTTTATGCCTGCTGGAAGGCAGAATTTTAAAATATTGCGAATTCAAGAGATATACAAGCCTGAAACATGGACACACTCGTTTCCACGGAAGTGGATGTCTTGTAGAGCAATCCTAGAGATGTTTATTCAACATATATTTAATTTCATTGGAAGTACTATTGTTTTCGTAGGGACGTGGTGGCGCTGTGGGCTAAACCGCAGAAGCCTGTGGTGCAGGGTCAGAAGACCAGCAGTCTGAAGATCGAATCCATGCGACGGAGTGAGCTCCCGTCACTTGTCCCAACTCCCTCCAACCTAGCGGTTCGAAAGCATGCAAATGCAAGTAGATAAATAGGGACCACCTTGGTGGGAAGGTAACAGCGTTCCGTGTCTAAGTCGCACTGGCCACGTGACCATGGAAGATTGTCTTCGGAGAAATGCTGGCTCTATGGCTTGGAAACGGGGATGGGCACTGCCCCCTAGAGTCGGACACGACTGGACAAAAATTGTCAAGGGGAACCTTTACCTTACTATTGTTTTCTATGGGTCTTACTCCTAGGTACATTTGTGTATTATTTCAGTCTACATCTGATTCCAAACACACTTGATTCAAATCACCCTTCACTCTGGGTTTGAGAGGCAAAGGAAAATGTAGTAGAAAAAGGCCCATAGGGCTGCAGGTTTATTTCTCCACCTGTTATCTTGATCTGCTGTACCTCAGATTCTTCCATAGTTCAGGCTTGTTTAGGCAGGAATGATAAGGAAAACATCTTTTTTCCATTTTAATTTGTGCCTGCTTATAGCAGGAATGATAAGGAAAACATCTTCTTTTTTTCCATTTTAATTTGTGCCTGCTTATTTGTTTGTTTGTTTAGTTATTTAGTTAGTTAGCTAGTTAGATCGTTAGATTGTTAGATAGTTAATTAGTTAGTAC